CACGAGGTGGCGCCGATACAGTCATCAATGTAACGGAGGAAGAGGTGCGGTTTAGGGCCAGCGTAGGTACGGAAGAGGGATTGTTCCACGTATCCTACAAAGAGGCAGGCATAGCTTGGGCACATGTGGGTACCCATGGCCACCCCCTTTGTCTGTAGGAAGTGGGACCAGTGTAGGTACGGAAGAGGAATTGTTCCACGTAACCTACAAAGAGGCAGGCATCTGTCTTTGCTCTCCTAATTGCTTTCTTAAATTCTGCGCCTTCATGCTTTCTTGATTCCATAAGCACCTTCATTTATTTTCTTCCTTTGTATCTAATAAAAGCCTCTGTCTTCCTTCTTATCCCCAGTCATGAATATTCCTAGACATCTAGGGCTGTCTAGGCATGTGGCTGCTACATTTAACCCTGAACGGAACATGTTGGACCTGTACTGTCTCCAATTACTTTTTGAACACCTACCCACTGTTCTGCTGTAGATTTACATAAAAGATAAGAACAGGAGTAGGCCATTTGACCCTTCGAGCCTGCTCTCTTATTATGAATGATCATCAAGCTCAATACCTACTACTACCCTTCCCACCATGTCCCTTGATCCCTTTAGCCACAAGAGTTATAGAAGATGACTTACACAAGGGCTAAAGAAAGCTGCATTTTGTTGGATTACTTTTCTGTTTGGAGTCACCTTATCCAAATAACACATACATTTATAGAAATGCAGAGCAGGTTTTAGTGAGATCTTACATTGGTGCTTTCCATACAAGTGCTACTGTACACTTACTTATCTATCATTTTTACCTTTGATCGTCATAATCCTTGCATATTATTAATAAATTCTAGTGAAGTAAGGATCCATTCATTCATGTGTGACTTGCTCGAAAGCAGATCATTGGTACCTTGTTTGCTGGTGCCTTATTTTCAGAAATCCATGATTGTTTGACATTGCTTTCTGTTCTCAGGGGCAGAGGGGTAAAACTCAATAGAAACCAAAAGAACTGTGGATGCTGTAAATCAGGAACAAAATCAAAGTTGCTGGAAAAGCTCAGCAGGTCTGGCAGCATCTGTGAAGGAGAAAAACAGAGTTAACGTTTCGGGTCTGGTGACCCTTCCTCAGAAAAACCTAAATAAAAACCAAAAGAACTGTGGATGCTGTAAATCAGGAACAAAAACAAAGTCGCTGGAAAAGCTCAGCAGGTCCACTCCCCTTCCTTAGAACTGGAGACCCGAAACCGGACCCAAAACGTTAACTCTGTTTTCTCCTTCACAGATGCTGCCTGACCTGCTGAGCTTTTCCAGCAATTTTGTTTTTGTTCAGAAAAACCCAAGTCTGTTTCAGTGGAAAGGGAATTTCTAACCTGCTGTTGGCATCATTCTGAACCATACACTAACCATCTAGCAAAGTGAACCAGTCTCCCCCTGGATTAAGCTTACGTGCAGAACGTAACCATAAGCCTAACATCTTGCACTTGATCCTTCTTAATTTCCTGCAATCAACTTGCTACTGAAGCTACATTGCTATCTTCAACTGAGCTCCATCCCCTAAAGCCCAAGTTGCTAAACTCCCACATTCAAGATGATCACAGATATGGCTTAGCACCAACCAAAAGGGACAGATCACCTTCCCACTGAGACAGACCTGGGGATTGTTTCTTTAGAGCAGAGGAGACTGCAGGTGGACCTGAGAGAGTTTTATAAAATTGCAAGGGGCATTCTAGGATGGGCAGGAAGGAACTATTCCCGTTGATGGGGAAATCAATAAGACTATTGGCCAAGTGCTGAAAGATGTGATTAGAATAGTTATAGAGTCATAGAGTATAGAAACAGAGCCTTCAGTCCAACTCATCTATGTCGACCAGATTTCTCAAACTAAACTAATTCCATTTGTCTGCACTTGGCCCATATCCCTCCAAATCTTTTCTATTTAGCTATGCGTCTTTTAAATGTTGTAACTGTACCTGCATCTCCCACTTCCGCTGGCAGTTCATCCTATATACTAACCACCCTTTGTGTGACAAAGTTGCCCTGACATCCCTTTTAAATCTTTATTCTGTCACCTTAAAATTATAATGTGGAGGTGCTGGTGTTAGCCTGAGGTAGACAAAGTCGGACACCAGGTTATAGTCCAACAGCTTTATTTGAAATCATAAGCTTTCAGAGTGTATAATCATTAGCTTTACCCTTCATCGGGTAAAGCGAGAGAGAAGCACACAGAACACTGAATTTATGGACAGAGAGGTCAAGGGCAGAGAGATCAAAAGATCACCAAAATGGTGTGAGTGGAGTGTCGAATAATAAGTACTTGCAGGTGATCAGAAGTGATGGACAGTGTGAGTAAAGTGTCAACAGCTGAGTAACAAGTGAAGGGATGACTTATAATCTGATTAAATGAGGCAGAGAGATAATTACAAAACATTAGTATGGTGGTGCTGGAGACAAAAAGCAAATGACTGGAATAACATGATTGTTGTAAGAGTCACATGCCAAGGATCTAACCAAAGTAATAAGTAATCCAAAACTGTACCAACCAATTAAGGGTAGAGCAATCATAACAATTTATCAAGGTGATGGTTTCAGAACAGGACAGTAAGGATGATTTTACAGATCCAGAACAGCGTTTTGGGGCTACATGTAGCATGAACTGAACCCAAGATGATGATTGAGGCCGTCTCCATGGGTATGGAACTTGGCTATCAGTCTGTGCACTTGGCGATTCTGCGTTGCTGTGTATCTCGAAGGCCTCCTTGGAGGACCCTGCTTACCCGAAGATCGAAGGTTGAATGTTCTTGATCGCTGAAGTGTTCCCCAACAGGGAGGGAACATTTCTGTCTGGTGATTGTTGCTCAGTGTCCACTCATTCGTTGTCATGTATCTCAGGGCCCCATATCTCAGGAAGGATGTACTGGCCCTGGAGCGGGTTCAGAGGAGGTTCACGAGAATGGTCCCAGAAATGAAAGGCTTAACGTATGAGGAACGTTTGAGGACTCTGGGACTATAATGATTGGAGTTTAGAAGGATGAGGGGGGATCTAATTGAAACTTACAGAATACTGAATGGCCTGGACAGAGTGGATGTTGGGAAGATGCTTCCATTGGTAGGAGAGACTAGGACCCGAGGACACAGCCTTAGAGTAAAGGGAAGATCTTTTAGAATGGAGATAAGGAGAAACTTCTTCAGCCAGAAAGAGGTGAATCTATGGAATTCACTGCCACAGAAGGCTGTGGAGAGTGGGTCATTGAGTACATTTAAGACTGAGATAGATAGGTTCTTGATTGTCAAGGGGATCAAGGGTTACGGGGAGAAAGCCATAGAATGGGGTTGAGGAACTTATCAGCCATGATTGAATGGCAGAGCAGACTCGATGGGAGAAATGGCCTAATTTCTGCTCCTATATCGTATGGTCTTATGGTCGTAGTGTCTGCATGGTCTCACCAACATACCGTGCCTCGAGGCATCCTTGCCTGCAGTGTGTGAGATGGACAACATTGGTTGAGTCACATGATTATCTGCCATGTACGTGATGGGTGGTGTTCCCACGTGTGATGGTAGTGTCCATGTCGATGATCTGACATGTCTTGCAGAGGTTGCCATGGCGGGGTTGTGTTGTGTTGTGGTCGATGTTCTCCAGGAGGCTGGGTAGTTTGTTGTGAACGATGGTCTACTTAAGGTTTAGCGGTTGTTTGAAGGCGAGAAGTGGTAGTGAAGAATCACTGAAACAATGACATAACAACATCAACAAGTTCCATCCCACCATCAGACTTTCCATGGGCTACTCTTCAGAATCAATTTTATTCTTGGACACAAGCATCTCCGTCAAGGACGGACACCTCAGTACTTCACTCTACTACAAGCCCACGGATAACCTCATGATGCTGCACTTCTCTAGCTTCCACTCTAAACACATTAAAGAAGTAATCCCCGATGGACATGCCCTATGCATACACAGGATCTGCTCAGATGAGGAGGAATGCGACAAAAACCACACAGGAAAAAGACAATGTAGTCGAGGAGAATACTGAGATACAGTCTATTAGACTAGACAGGATTGAGGTTCATAAGGAGGAGGTGTTGGAAAGGATTATAAGAGATAGGATTTATTATCATCCAGAAAGGAATAATTTGATTAGGGATAGTCAACACGGTTTTGTGAAGGGTAGGTCGTGCCTCACAAACCTTATTGAGTTCTTTGAGAAGGTGACCAAACAGGTGGATGAGGGTAAAGCGGTTGATGTGGTGTATATGGATTTCAGTAAAGCGTTTGATAAGGTTCCCCATGGTAGGCTATTGCAGAAAATACGGAGGCATGGGATTGAGGGTGATTTAGCGGTTTGGATCAGAAATTGGCTAGCTGTAAGAAGACAGAGGGTGGTGGTTGATGGGAAATGTTCATCCTGGAGTTCAGTTACTAGTGGTGTACCTCAAGGATCTGTTTTGGGGCCACTGCTGTTTGTCATTTTTATAAATGACCTGGATGAGGGCGTAGAAGGATGGGTGAGTAA